CCTACCATATGTACTTCATTTAGAGCTAGAATCCTGGGTATACACTTCAGCATCTAATGAAGGGGAAAACAGTACATAACACTTTTATGTCATAATAAATTTGTCTATATTTAAAGTTGTCACAAGACTCTGTTCATATTTGGTAAGAAGCATAGGTTCCTATGGAGTGTCCTTAATTCCTTGACTTAGTCCTTACATAAAATGTTTGCTGTATGAAATAGCTAAGATTCATATGTTATGGCACAGATTAGCTTATATCTACAGAAATAGGTGAAGACCCAGCCTGATGTACTTGGCACACCATATACACACTAGTGCCTTAATGAAGTGTGTGTCATAATTATCCTTATATATCCAGATCATATTAATTCCCTTTCAAAGACATTCAGCAGTAAAAAAAATGTACTCCCTTATGTCACATGATATTCCACTCTCTTTATAATTCCGATAAATCTAGTTTTATTTAAGACTGTAGTTGGATTTGGGTCAGGTGAAATACTGAGATCATAAATTTAGTTGCATTAATATTGTCAAATATATCCATTTCCATTTCCCTTGATTTAATAAACAATAAAAAGAAAGCCTTTGAGAATACAATAAAGATAAACACTGACAAAACCTTCCCAGGGTAATATATGGCTGCGGAACAACTTTACGTGCTAATGAGGTCTCTGACATGACTGTAGTAAGCTAGCTACAGATCCTATGTTTCTTCCTGGGATATATTTTCTTCAGACAAGCAGACACCTTCAATTGCTGTTAAAACAGAAGTCAACTTAAACAACAACATACCTACAGTAATTGGGAATTAGGGTTACTGCCAAATTCTAGTTTTTCTCTAGACAGAATGGAAGTTTCAGTTTTCAGACATGTGTGGTGGAGTTTCAGCAGGTGGGGCTGCTTTCCAGAATGTGTCTCTCTAATATTTGGCCTTGCTTCTGCGTCATGCATTTTATCTCCCTCGGCTGAACCTTCTCCAGTCTCAGAAAAGGTAACAAAGCTGAACATTTGCTCATTCAAAAGCCACATGACAAGTCGTCACATGAAAAATATGCATGTTGCCAAAAAAAGAGAGAAGGAGGTTGCCCGTAGGAAATCTGTTACCACAGCAACACGCAAATATAGAAACACGCTCTCAACAACCATCATTGTTAGCTAGTATAAAATGGCACAAGAAGAAAACAAGCATATGCAAAGCTTGTCAGGGAGCTGGTAGGAGGTGCACAGGCTGTTGGAATTTAGCATTCTTTGGCATTAGATAGGTTTTCCAAATCACGCCCACAAACAAAGACAGTCTCAGCCTGCTAAAGCTTCTTCACTTACTGCCTTCACATAATCCTGTACCTTTTCCACAGCTCTGGAAGTTCTGCTCCCAAATACGACTGCAAATCTTGATTTTAGTTTGCCTGAGATTACTCATCCATAGTTGGTACATACACTATATTCTTCCACCAGTATCAATTGGTGAGGACATTTCTACCCCACTCCCAGCTACTAGATGCATTACCTGTAATCTCGTAGAGCAGCACAATTACACTCCTCCACTTTTACTAGGAAATCTGTGTGTTTGTCTTTTGGTGGAGATGCTGGCCAATATGATTCCACAGACAAAAAAGCAAGCGGCGTAGAGGAGCCACCTACAGACAGTAAACCAGCCATATCGTGTACAGCTGTGCTCAGGATCAAAGCAATTTAAAGAGAGTCTGGGAGCAATGTGCTGCAGGTAGAAATAGAAAAACAAAGCCATTGCTAAAGTGTGAAAACTTTGGAGAAAAATAGAGAAGGCTGTAATTCCTAATTATCCAGAGGCTGAAGTACACACTCTTTTTTAAGAGGATTTAATAGATGCCGATAGACCTACCAGGTGCAAAAGAGAGCAGGACTCTAAATGGCCACACAGGTGAGGACATTTCAGTAGGCTTCTGAGCAATTATTAAAGGGGCAGGAACAAAACTATCTTGCAACAATATGTACAATGCATTCTGTTCCTGAGTCAGTGCTTTATTCTTGCTAATGGAAAAGGATCACAAGCTCAACTCAGCATGAATTCATTGGCTGGTTTTGGGCTGGACAGATAATGCCTTAGTTCCATTTCTATAATATCAGCAGCACATCATCCAACTTCACAAGGTTCTTGTGGGACCTGTTAGGCTAACATATTTAGAACACTTTTTGCATTCAGGAACCATGTGGATTTGAATTTTATTTATAGAATTATGTTTGCAGAGTCAGAGGTTGGGAGTTCAATTCCTCAATGCACCTCCAGAGAGAGAAAAGAGCCACCCTACGTAGCCTTGGGCAAGGTGCACAGTCCAAGAGTTCCCCAAGAGCCACCCTACGTAGCCTTGGGCAAGATGCACAGTCCAAGAGTTCCCCCAAAAGGGGATGGTAAACCATTTCTGAGTATGCTACGCCTAGAAAACCCAGTAAAGGATCACCATATATTGAAATCATTTTGATGGAATGTGTTGATGGTGATTAGATTTCTATAATCCTAACAAGAGTAGACTCCTTGGATCACTTCTTGAATGGTAAAATATTCCATCTATCAGACTAAACCTTTTTTTAAATAAAATACACATATAAAAGCACCTATTGGAGGAGCTTACAGAAGGAATAAGAAGGATGTTTGAAAGGGTGGTATTAAACAATATTCCTTTGGACACTGTGCATCCTTTTAGTCCATTTTTTCAACAACATTCCTCTGTACCTGATCTTGATTCACTTCTGCTGTTAGAGCCATGCACGGAGAAAGTGCCTAGTACAAACACGATTGGAATGTGGTTAAGTTCAACAACTCATCTATACACTTGTGTTATTAAAAACGAAGAAACAACACATATTTTCCCTCCTTTGCTTTACATGTGAACAAGGTAAATGTGTACTGAATAGAGATGGGGGTATTCATATACGGATATGAATATCCTTGCACAGGTGCTGATAACAAGGGTCCAGCCCCATGGGGTGGGACGGTCCACTCAGTGATCCATCATGGATGCGGCCAGTGCGATTCTGCAAATGGCTCCACAGCGTGCAATCTGCCCACCACTCTTTGATCTTGCATCGAGGCTTGTCCTTCCGCCTCCTGCCAGGAGTGGCGAGCAGATCACATCGTCCCCCTCCGATCGGTGAGTGGACCATCCGGCCCCGTGGGGCTGGACCCTTGTTAATGCCACCTGTGCGGGGATATTTGTATTTGTATACAAATACAGATACCCCCATCTCTAGTACTGAAGGCTCCATCACAACTCGTTTGGTTCTTGAAACTTCCAATAACCGCTAAGTGATATTCTTTTGTAATGAAAGACTTGCCATTGCTTCTGAAAAATAAATCTTTATTAAACATATAACATACAGTATAATCATATAATAATAATAATAATATTCGTAGACACAGATGACAAGTAATTAGACTACAGAGGTCATAATCCTAAACAACCTACTAGGAAACAAATTCCACTGAACTCTGCAGACTTGAATAATCATAATCAGAGGTTTACTGGAGATACAAAAATTAAAAACACAGAACATAAATGTCTCCATGCTGATTCAGTCCAACCAGTGGCTTATGGGAAGTCCAAAAGCAAAATATGAGAGCTAAAATCCTCACCCTTGTTATACTCCTTCTGGCACTGCAGAAAATAAAAATCCATCTAGACTGTCAATATGCTTATCACCCCTGAATATGACTTTTAAAACCGTCCAATTTGGCAGCTATCACTACATCCTGCAAGAACAAGTTTTGTTGTGTATTGTGTAAAGAAGTACTTCCTTTCATTGGTTTTGAATTCCCCACTGTTCAGCTTCAGTGCATGAGTCCTGATTCCATCCAGTTTTTCCACAACAGGAATAATTTTACACCAATTGTGTTGTTAGTCTGTGGAACGTCTTGCCACAGGATGTGGTGATGGCATCTGGCCTAGATGCCTTTAAGGGGGGATTGGACAGATTTCTGGAAGAAAAGTCTATCACAGGTTACAAGCCATGACGGGGATGTGTAATCTCCAGGCTTAAAATCTCCAGGCTTACAAGGAAGGTACTTCAAAATGCCAAATGAAGGGAAGTGGTATCAGGAGCCAGATAGCTAGTTGTCTCATGTGCTCCCAGAGGCATCTGGTAGGGGCACTGTAAAGGAACATCCCAGAGGCATCTGGTAGGGGCACTGTAAGATACAGGAACATGGACTAGATGGGCCCTTGGCCTGATCCAGCAGGGCTCTTCTTATGTATCTTTTACTGTATTTTTTCCTAAGTAGTGCATAGTATAAACCCTACTTCCAAAACAGAACTTGGAAGTGTTACTTTTTAGAGAACACATTAGCTATGCTAGTTGCAGGATTCTGGGAGTTACAGTCTAAAAAGTAACTTTATTGAACTCTGTCCGAAAGGCATAAAGGGTATATCCAGAACACACAGGCTACTCCGGCCCCTTTGACACAAACTCACATAACAGTCACATATTTTAACTAGAGCATAACTGGCCAGGGGGCATAGCCTACATATGTGTTGAAAACTGAGACAAAGACAGCCTACAGATTTTGCACAAGGAATGAACCATCTCATCTCCCAAATTTCTGGCAATTCAAATTCTAGTTGAAAGAAAGGGCATTATCTAATATGAAAGTTATTGAGAAAAAATGATGCTTTTGATTCTGCACACAGAGATAAATTTGTAGTAACTGTTACTTTCAATGGAATGGCAATAGCCCATGAGATAGCCCATGATTGGAAAAATGAAATTCTTAACTTGTATAAATATCTGATTGTCATAACATAAGCTTCATTCTGTCATCATCAAAACTATCAATGAAGTCAGCAAATGTATCCCTTTCCAATTGAGGGCTAATCCTTATTACACTTCAAGTGAAGGCAAATTTTAATTGCATTAATTCCATGTAATTTAATCTTGGTTACATAATAATAATTTGCCATCCAGTCAATTCAGACTTACAGCAACCCTGAGAATACTCAGAAGTGGTTTACAATTCCCTTTTTCTGGGGACACTTCTGGGACTGTGCAGCTTTGCCAAGGCCACACAGGCTGGCTCTACTCATAGGAGGCACACTGGGAAATTGAGTTCTACCGCCGAATACTTAAACCACTGTGCCATCCAGCCAGCTCATAACACAATACACAATACAATCAAGAACATGCACTTTAAAAAGACTATTGTTTCAGACATCAATGTCATGGCATGGGATGGGTCTGAAGGTTGTTTCAATATTTTCCAGCAATATGAAATCATATCTACACAGCTGAGTCCTGTATGAAGAGAAAGGAAATAATATATGATCAAAAGAAATACCCCTCTTTCCGTGTGTGTACATTCTTATGTTCTACTATAACTTTTAAGATCAAGGGGGAGTCAGGGATTAATGATTTTCAGAGGGATTGAGGAAGCTGTATTAGTATCTCCCATGCCCACTGCTGTCAAATTTGCCACGCTGGCAGTGAGAACAAATATGTTCTTCATCTTTAAGTCAAGGTCTCCACTCCTTATACACTTCCATTTAAAGATGAAAAATACATTTTGAGGCAAAAATACATTTGGTAACAGTGGGGCCATGGGGAAGAGGGATAGCAAGGTCACAAAAATGACTGGGAAATCTTGCGACTGGGGATTCTCATGAAGTCCACAAGCTGTAGATTGCTCAGCTGTGTTTTAAATACATCACTACAATAGAAGATGAAGGAAGATATTTTTAATAGCTACCTCTCAATTCTGGAGGCTTTTCTAAAATTATTATTATTATTCCTTTGTACTGTGCCTTATTCCTGGTGAAGAAAGTTGAAATAATGTCATGGTACTACCAGAATTTTTGAAGAACTTATAAAGAAAGCCCACATTAATGTTAATCAAACTAATGTAGAAACTTTACTAGCAACTTATTGGCCATATACACATGCATATTAACTTTAGTATCTGGTACAAGGAAGAAATTATTTAACAAGGGCTACAGCACATAAAGGCAAGACATGACATACCTCCCCCCAGAAAACGTTTTGTGACCCCCTTGAGGGCGCAGACCTCCAGACTGGGAAACAGTGTTCTAAACGCAGTGAGATCATTATGTAGCCAGTTGGGAACACTGACTATGATTAACCTTGATTTCCACTAGAAAGGTTAATTAAAATACATGAAGAGTAATTGGTGAACCAGCCACAAATCTGAACTGTGAATTGGCATGAAAGGTAAAATCAGAGGAAAGGCTTTTTACTCCAGTGTTTACACATGGAAAAATTCAGTGCAGCTCTGAATTTCTATGAAACATGTATAATTTTATATTTGAGAGCAGATTCACGCAGCTGAGACAGATTAGTCACTGCAAATGCAAATTCTGCCATTAATATTTAATATTTATTTAATGCATTTCTCAGCACCCTTTCAAGACTGCGGTCCTCCTCATGGAGGCTTACAATATATTCAGTATCAACAGAACACTTTTACAAGAGCATGCGATTCCTTTAAATCCATATCTTCAAGCAGACCCTAACAGTTCACATGTTCTGCTGGCCTATAACTAAGAATCTACTGGAGGGCTGCTGTTGTTATTTTGGTATGAAATTCTGCCTAGTTTGTTAGTTTTGATTTCATTGTTGCTGTAGTATTTTATGGTTTATGGTTTTAATATTCATTGTACATTGTCAGGGGGAGGGAATTACACTAAAACATGACATCCATCCATCCATCCATCCATCCATCCATCCATCCATCCATCCATCCATCCATCTATCTAGAATGAGCCAATTAAATGAAACAAGTTTTGAAAAACTTTCTTAAAAACAATACCAAATATATCGTGAGAAGAAGTTCCATGGGGCAGCATAAGTACATATGCTACATTTCCTGCGTAGGCAAAGTGTCCTGTACAAGGAGCCAAGCACGGATTATCTGGCACACAGACAAGTAGAAGTCACTTTTTTTTAGTTTTAAAAACCTTATGTCTATCTTCTTATGAAGATAATTGGCTCATTTTCAACCCGGTCTCTTTTTGGCTAAACAATTTCTGTTCTTCACAATTGGACAAAATCATAAAAATAAAGTTCCCCTGCTCCAAAGCACATACAGAAATAAAACCAATGCCGCCGCCCCCACTTCCTGCATTTTGCTATTTCACTAGGGGTCAGTGTGGAGAAGTCAGGCAGTTTTAACTCTTCTTCCAGTAATTGAAGTACTATTTCTTAAGTTGATATTCTTAAGTTGTCAATCAATATAAGTATTATTCATTGATGCCTCTTTGTGTATGTCCTCTAATTTAGTTAACATTTACAGCTTGCTTAAGTACTATTGTTTTTTAACATATTTGAGTGTTTCTGCAATTATAGTAATTACGAATAGCTACAGAAGCCATATGTGTGATCACATCAATTCTGCATATTTTCCCAAGCTGCAAGCTGCAATTACACAATTACAGCCTATGGTTGTGTAATGAGGAATGCTAGGCACTGTAATAAATTAATTGTCATTTTAGGCAATTTTTCAAAATTGCATAAGCCATAGATACACAAGAACATAACTAAAAAGAAACCAAATAAACCACATACTATTATAGTTTTAATATGTGAGGGCCACATATTGTCCATGTGAAGCATAGGCAAGAACTTAATGCTTCCAACACAATGATCTGCTTACCTTTTTGGATGAGAAAGGGATTTTAATCTCATTTGAAGGACTCTAAGCTTGTACTTTGGGCCTACTACACTCCCAGTAGAAAATGTCAAGCCGATTTTTGATATGTTGTCTAAATCCAGATAAAATCCACTCAGTATCTTGGCTTGCCTATATTGGCGAAATTCAGCCACATCACTGGGGAGAAAAAAAAGAAAAACATTGTGCTACAAAATAATCAGATTCCCTATTCATATAGTACTTTCACTATAACTGCAGTTTTGAACTATCTGTGAGGGCCATCAGATTCCAGTTACAGATGGGCGAGAATTTCATATCTTTTTTTAAACATATTTACTAACATTCACTAATGTCTCTATACGTGGCTTAAAGGGATCCAGAGATTTTTAAAATGCTAATATAGAAGAAACCAAAATGAACAAATGCATTCATTCAGGAAACAGGGCTTTTAACTCTTGAAAATTTATGTTTGAATCCTTGTGTTTTTAGCCATGTTAATAGTGATTAGAGTGCCATTTTTTAAATCCTCCTCTGCTGAGATGCATTGTTCCACCTACTGTGGGGAGTAAAAGAATCCTGTCTCTGCAGCTCCACTCATCAGCAGGACCAGTCACCCTCATTATTGCATATGCACCAACACTGTCATCCACAACAGAAGTGAAAGAGAAATTCTATGACAATCTGGCAGCTACTATCAAAAAAGTCCCCGAGAGAGAATTCCTGCTCATTCTCGGAGACTTTAATGCTAGAGTTGGTGCTGATCACAATTCTTGGCCCACTTGTCTAGGCCATTTTGACATTGGGAAGATGAACGAAAATGGCCAACGCTTGCTGGAGTCTTGCTGTTATTATAGTCTTTGTGTCAGCAACACGTTCTTTAATACGAAACTTCAACACAGTTTCCTGGAGACATCCAAGATCGAAGCATTGGCATCGGCTCGATTTGATCCTCACTAGACGTTCTAGCCTTCCTAGTATTATGATCAAACACAGTTACCAGAGTAAGTGGAGGAATTTGCCCAAGCGCTTGAGGAAACTCTTCCAGGTCCGGCTGATGCAAATGCATCTGAACGATGGGAACATTTCAAGAACGCTGTTTATAACACCGCCTTGTCCACATTTGGCAAGAAGACCAAAAAGACGGCCGACTGGTTCGAAGCCCATTTGGAGGAGTTGATGCCAGCCATCAAGAATAAGAGGAGAGCTCTAGCCGCATACAAAGCCTGTCCTAATTAGTACAACTTGCAAGCTCTTCTACTTCCTCATAGCAAAGTCCAACAGGCTGCCAGGAAATGCTCCAGTGATTATTAGCTTCTGCTCTGCTCTCAGATACAGATAGCAGCAGACACAGGTAACATCAAGGGAATGTATGACGGTATCAAGCAGGCTTTAGGTCCAATACAGAAGAAATCTGCTCGCTTGAAGTCTGCTACAGGCGTGATCATCCAAGACAGAGCACAGCAGATGGAACGCTGGGTGCAGCACTACTCTGAGCTATATTCCAGAGATAATGTAGTAACTGAAGAGGCATTAAATAACATTGAGTGCCTGCCTATCTTGGAAGAGTTGGACAGCAAACTAACTTTAGCAGAAATAAAAGTGGCCTTGGATTCCCTCGCCTCCGGCAAGGCACCTGTTGAAGTGCTGAAGTGCTGTAAAGAGATCATCACCACTGAGTTGTATGAAGACTTTCATCTTTGCTGGAGGGAAGGTGGAGTACCACAGGACATGAAGGATGCAAACATTGACACATTGTGTAAGAATAAAGGAGACGGGGCAACTGCAATAACTACTGTGGCATCTCTCTGTTGTAGGGAAGCTGCTTGCCCGTGTTGTGCTGAAGAGACTCCAGGTGCTTGCAGACAGAGTTTATCCAGAATCACAGTGTGGATTTCAAGCTAATAGATCCACCACTGGCATAGTCTTCTACCTCAGACAGTTGCAGGAGAAATGTAGGGAACAACAGCCACTCTTTGTGGCCTTCATAGATCTCACAAAGGCCATTGATTTGGTTAGCAGGGATGGCCTTTTTAAAATACTTCCCAAGATTGGATGTCCACCTCCACTTTTTAACATCATCAGGTCCTTTCATGAGGAAATGAAGGGCACTGTAGTTTTTGATGGCTCAACATCAGATCCCTTTGACATTCGAAGCGAAGTGAAACAGGGCTTGACTACAACTCTTTCATACTTACATGACCATGAAGGGAAAAACATAGATTCAATTCATTGTGGGTTTTTTTATGCCTGGGGTTATTTCCAGCTCTTAGCCAGCCATAACCCTCCTAAATGGGAACTAAATAGGTTGGAGCACTCAATCAGGCTAAACAACTGAGGTCCATTTTATTTCAATTTTACTGCTTCACTGATAAAAAACAAGAAAGCATTTTTATGGTGTTTCTGCATAGTTATCTTCAGCTTGCCATAGCAAACATCACTAATTGGATAATACATATTAATAATCTTAATGGATCCTTATTCCAAATTAAGTGTCTTTACAGTTACAGAAGTCTGCCTTATATTAAAAAATATAGTAAAATAGTAATACTTACCTATCAATTTTAGATTCTGTTGTATTTCCTGCATTGTCAGTTATTTTGATTTTTATGAAACCTGTCCTATTGCTTTTGTTCCAGGTAATGATATCCACAAAGTAATGATACACTGCAGAGAGATGGCAGAATAAAGGAATATGAACTAGTACAATTTTTCTAAATTATGATATATATGATACACAATAAGACATTATAAGCAGCCACCCTTCTTCTACTCACACTAAGTTCAGGGGTTTCAATCTCACAACACACTGGAGACAATAATTGCTTTATGTGTGTAAAAATACAGCACGTGCTATTAATAAGACAGAATGAAAGAAAATAATTTTCTACAGAGGTCATCCAAATCTATGGATCGCCTTGAGAGGGCAGCAACATGAGCTCATATAAGAGCTCAGACTGATGCATCTTCACTTAAACAGAGTTCATCATTTTCAGATCTCTGTCTGCCCACCATAAAATCTGAAATGCCAACTGTCTTCCTTTCTCTCTTAGGAGATTCCAGTGGGTGTCACTCTCCAAAACCTTGGGAAAGGTCCAGCCTAAAAAAGATTCATGACTTTGTGAGAGTATGGCTTAATAAGAAGCTGACGGCATATACCAAGATCCGGGTCTATAGAGCCTGTGTCCTGAGCACACTCCTGTACTGCAGTGAGCCCTGGACCCTTTGTGCACGGCAGGAGAGGAATCTCAACACATTCCATATACGTTGTCTCCGACATGTTTTTTGTATCACCTGGCAAGACAAAGTTCCAAATAGAGTAGTCCTAGAACGAGCTGGAATTTTTAGCATGTACTGTACACATTACTGAAACAGCGACGTCTACGTTGGCTTGGGCATGTCGTGAGAATGGCTGATGGTCGGATTCCAAAAGATCTCCTGTATGGAGAATTAGTACAGGGAAATCACCCCAGAGGGAGACCACAGCTGCAATTAAGTGCAGGGAAATCACCCCAGAGGGAGACCAGTGGGTGTCACCCTCCAAAACCTTGGGAAAGGTCCAGCCTAAAAAAGATTATTAAAGTCTCTTTGTTGTATACCACATCTTCAATCTAGTCAGAAGAAAAACATTGTGACAGGCTTTTGCCAAACTCATAACTCTATAATACTGCATTATGAAGCAGACAATCTTAATATCTATGATTGTATACTGTCTTGAGCTTTGACAGTGTTACATGGGATATTAAAATGTCTTGAATTCATCAGTGATTAGTCATATCTTGCCCTTCCTCCATTGAACTGAAGGTGGCATCCATGGCTCTCCTACTCTTTATTTTCACCACAAACATGCCAGGATTGAATTTTTTTAAAAAAATTGATTTTATGGGGTGCCAAAGTGTTACCTTTAAAACTGAAAAGTCCTTTTAAAAAGGTGCATTGAAAAGTGAGAGTAGTTTTTTAAAAACTACAGCTGGGGAAAACTGTATACCTTACAGCCATTTGTTTTCAGTGCACAAAGTATCTGATAAAATAAGAAGGCATAGCTCATTCATTTTCGTGCCAGTTTTTGCAATAAAAAATAAACAATATAATGCTTACGTTATGTGAACAAAGACAACAACAGAGGAAAGATAGAACTGCATTCTATTTTGCTGCCTGAGTTGCATTTACTTATGTTAATTAACAAAGAAACACCCAAAACATATACGAAATGTGTGTTAAACAAGTGAGAATAACCATATACGTACAGAAGAAGCTTTTACAAAACAATATAAAGGCAGAAAAAGATTATTGTTATTTTAAGTAGTTTGCTTGTTGATAAGTAAGTAGAAAAAAAGGCTTTACCCTCATAATAAATAAATAATAAGAGAATTATTATTTATTTATTATGAGGGTAAAGCCTCTAATTCAATGTGGTAACAATGAGGAGTATGAACTCATGTAAACTGTAGTATTTATGAATGAAACATGTAAATAGATTATACTATCTAAATATATATCAGGAAATTACATCACTTAGCACATCTACTCCAAAGCAGGGGGCTACTAGAGAGCCCAGCTAACCTAGGAGACTGCTACCCAAGCTCATTGATTGGATAGGGATGTGGACAAGCTGGCATCGCTTGCCCGTGGGAAAGCTAAAGTCCCACATCATGTTTTGGATAAGCGTAACATCAAAAGATATATAAACAAGAGATTTCTATCATGTTTATGGAACATCACTCAAAGGATACAGAAACCTCTTTTTATAAACAGGAAAGAAATCTCTGCTTGAAGTAGGTGAGAATTTATCTAATGTGATGTGAATTATTTACTATGCTTATGCTATGTTCAGTTTTGTTTTTATAAATATGTATTGCAATAGAAATTTTAAATGACGTATGAGAGTTTATGTATTTCATTTTTTGACAAGAACACAGCTTTTTAATAAAGAAAATTTTTGTTGTTGTAGCTGTTGAATTACTAAACTTAAGTTCCATGCTATTTGAACAGAAGTTCATACTTTAGTAAAACCTATGTTTTTAATAGAATAAATGTTATTTACATACAGTATGTAAACTAGAGTTTTGTATTAGGGGACTGAATTTTACAACATATACTAATTTAATTTTTATATATTCCAAATACATTTTATATTTTTGGCTCTTATTTACTTAATTGCTTGCTTGATAAATAACTTTTTTTAGGAAGAAAATGATTAATTTTTGAACTTTTAAGGAAAGGACCTGAAAGGTATCTAGGAAGGAAGAAATGAATGAATATAGCAAGGTATAACACCTTCTGTAACTACACTTAAATTCCTTGTCAGATGTATATAAGACACAAATCTGTAGGCCTCTGATACGGAATCTCTAGAACACAAGCCTTGTTGAGGCATTCAGATATTCGTGCATGGAATCTGACACGATAAGTGAGGCTAAAACAAAGTGAATGGCCCAAGGTCAGCCAATGAATTTCATGCATTCATGGGGACTAGAAACTGGATCTCAGAAATCCCAATCCCAAACCTCTAATCACTGGATCTGGCACTTTGCTTTGTTGTGATGTTTTATGGTTACTCTACTCTACAAGAATATTTAGAAAGAAGCAAACAGTTGTATACAAACCCTAAAACAAATGTACAGTACTTTTGTCATGTGGAAAAACAGAACCAGCTGTCCTTCTGCCATGCACACATTTCCTGCTTCAGACTCTGTACAGCTTGCAAGGTTAGGACAATTGAACTCACATCAATTTTTCAAACTGAAAAAAAGTGTCTATCTGAAGGAGACACTGACTTACAGCTCCAATCATGAGTCTTAAGATGCATTGTAGTAAATCTTTTGCTAACTTGCCCATCTTTCATTACATTGCTTTTCTTGAAATTCATCTTCTCCCAATTATTCAATGCAAATCCAGCTTTCTCAATCTCACATCAGCTCATGTGTTATCTTTTACCAGCTTGCCCAGATAATTTCCTGTTTTTAGCATTTTTCTCCCTCAAAGATCTTTGTGAACACAATAGTATTTCTCATAAATGAAACAGCTACAAAGAACTATGTCTAATTATGAATGTGCCAGGTTATCTGGACAGTAAAAGTCTTGTGTGTTTTTCATAATGCTACCAGATAATGAAACTTGGGCAAATGTGAGGTGAACAGTTAATCACTTACTGCAAAATGGGTCTTTGTCTGAAGTGTCAAAGTAAGCAGTTGTCACAGGAGGGTACTTTTCAGTTAAATGGTCTTTCCATTTATCTGCATAATAACCTGGAATTTAAATTGGAATGTGTTTACCACAAAATTAAAAAACAAGGAAAGATAAAAATCATAAAGATAGGCTTGTGTTCCATAATGTTCAGGGAAATCAAAACTGGCACCAAGTCACAAAAACATGGGCTCAAGTTATGCATGCTAAGTTCTAGTACAAGCAGTGAATTTAGGAAATGAAATTACATCAGTCTGCAATATCTGCTACTCCAGCTCTTCACAGTACGTTACTATAAATCACCACACACTTTCTCCTTTACCAGGATCATACACTATTATTACAAGCAAGGTAGAATTCAAGCAAGGGAATGGCCTGGTAGAATTTCAGTACTTGGTCCAAACTGAAAAAGTTAATATGGGTGCTTCCTTTTTGGCTTTCTCTCCATGAGAACTGAGTGATCATGATTCCTGGTCACTTGAAGCTAGGAATCTGGGCTTAACAAAACATGTGAACACATGGGGTGTTGCTTTCTTTGAACACACTTAACACAATCAAGGTTTTGGATTTTACTTATTTAGTAGTCACATTATCATCTCCCTTTCCATCCCATGAGAGAAAGAGGGCATTTGCTGCTTCTACTCCCCAAATCTTTATTGATCTAGGGTTTAGAAGTAAGGTAAAGGTAAAGGTTCCCCTTGACAATTTTTGTCCAGTCGTGTTCGACTCTAGGGGGCGGTGCTCATCCCCGTTTCCAAGCCATAGAGCCAGCGTTTTGTCCGAAGACAATCTTCCGTGGTCACATGGCCAGTGCGACTTAGACACGGAACGCTGTTCCCTTCCCACCGAAGTGGTCCCTATGTATCTACTTGCATTTGCATGCTTTCGAACCGCTAGGTTGGCGGGAGCTGGGACAAGCGACGGGCGCTCACTCCGTCGCGTGGATTCAATCTTACGACTGCTGGTCTTCTGCCCCTGCAGCACAGGCTTCTGCGGTTTAGCCTGCAGCGCCACCACGTCCCTTTTAGAAGTAAAGGGGGAGCAAATAAGGTACCCAATGTGTGCTATGCATTCACATTGCTTTTAAGACAATACTTTTTGCTTAAAGTGATGTACAAATGTATCCAGGATGTACAAATGTATCCAGACATCAAAACCAGTTGGGACACCTCTTTGTTCAAGTGGAGGTAATATGCATTTGGGGGTACACAGTACTGATTTTTTTCACCTTTCCTTCCAGATTAGAAGCTGTAAAGGAAGACAATGTCCAGGATGCACAAACAAGAAAAAAAAGGGGATTTCAGTCATCATGTCCTTCAGAGTGTAGACAGACAATCATAGCTAAAGTACCTTATCAGTTATATTCGATAGCTCATTCGTATAGCCATGGGCTTATATTTCACTCAGTAACCATCTTACTGTCACATAATTTTTCATGTTGAATTTCAAGATAGAACAATTTTATCTATGTCAACCATGTTGCTTTTAATGTTGATTTATAAAGAGATAACTTTTTCATATCTAATCTATTTCAAAATTTTGCCTCCTACAGACATCCAATTTTAACTCCACTCCCAGTGGAAGTTTTGTCTTTCTATTTTCTATTTTCGTTTTTTTTTTTTTTTAAGTTGTCCTTTGTAGTCACACTGGCAGAATAAAAAACTGCACATTGACCTTGGTTTACCAACTGGAAAGAAATCTCTATTTATATAAAACCCTATAAAGAATTCACACAGTTCTGCCTTGAGATCATCTACCATTTGCAACAGGGGCATGCTCACATCCTTCTTCATGCTTCTCTTGCTGTCTTATGAATCAGAGTATTGGGGTGATGACACACCTCTTGGCATTTGATTTAAAAAAGAAAAGAAAAATAAACCTAAAGCCTAAAGGAAAATTTAAGTATACTCATCTGTAAGACTATTTAACATAAACTCCATAGGGTGCTTTTTGAATATTTAAAGATAGCCTTTAGTATGTATGGAAAATTGTGTTTGTGGAGATTTGGACCTTGAAGGTCACAGGAAATGCTAGAAGTCTGAAGATCTGAATCTGTCCTAAGGGTCTACAGAGTTAGTTAGTCTTTCTGTGATCAATCGTTCACAAATAAACTCTTGCTGTTTTCATAAAAGAGTTTGTCTGGCCAAACTGTTCAAGTCTGTGAAATAGTTAACAATTAAATTATTTAAACTTGTCAACTATTTAGATATTGTGCAAGCCATTTTTCTGATGTGGCTCTTTCTTTACTCATGGCAATACAGAAAAATAAGGATAATGTGGGCCAATATGTAGATTTAATTCAGCATATTAAATGCATGGAGGATCAGCTTTTGCTTTAGACTAGGTATTTAGATCTTGCCTTTCTGTTCTGTGAACTTTTGAAAATATATCTGAGAAAAAAGTTTCTGATCAAGAACAAGGCTGATTTGACCTGTTCTAACTAATCAGAAACGTCAGAATAATTATCATGATATTTTCACATATTATCATAATCAGTTGCATTTATATCCCATCCTTCCTCCAGTGAGGTGAATGCAGCTTACATGGCTCTTACTCCACCACTTTATCCTCACACTTTATCTTCAGATGTCATTTGAAGATATAAAGTACTTGTGCGGAGAGCTGCATGCTATGAGAATTCATAAGCCTCTTCTTCTCTTGATAATATACTGGTAACATGAGACTTACATCAGCAAGAGAGCCCCCCTCACCACTGCAGGAGTATACCGGATACCTTGCAGTTGTGGTCAGGTATATATTGGAACCACAAAACATAGCATTCACAACAAAATCAAAGAACGTGAGGGACACTGCAGGCTAAAACAACCGGAAAAATCAGCATTAGCTGAACAATAATGCGTTCCTATGGGCAAAAAACTCACCTTTATGCGAAAATCCTCCACACGGCCGCCATTTTCACTGCCCGGTAAGCAAGGAATCCGGGTGAAAACACAGCGGGCGGCCATTTTTTTTACCCACGACCATTTGGGAACCGCCGATCAGCTGTTCTAAAAGCATCGCTATGCGAAAATCGGTAAGCGAAACAGCGTACCGATCATGGCAAAGCAATTTTTTACCATTAGAAACATCGCAATGCGATCGCAAAAACTTAATCGCTGTGTGGATTCATCATTAAACGGGGTGCCCGTTAAGTGAGGCACCACTGTAACTTACTGCAGGAGAAGCAAATTTTTCCTTGTTCAATAAATAATGAATGTAAGGCTGTTCAAATAAATAAGTCTTTTTCTTCTTCATTGTTCACATTGGAAGCAATCCAGTGGTGTTTTTGGAGCGCGAGGACAGGTGCTATTGTGCCCCAGGGAATGCCAAAATGCAACTCCCTTTCTTAGATGGCATGGTCCTACGCAAAACTGACCTCCTATTGGGACACAAGGTCTAAAGAAAACCCACCCACACAGACCGGTACATACACAAAAACTCCAACCACCACCCACGACAAGAAAGAGGCATAATCAAAACACTGGTAGACCGTGCAAATCGGAACAGTCAATTTCTCAGCACCAAACTCAACCATCAAAATTGGGCCCTACAGGCAAATAGCTATTCCAAGAATGAAATCACAAGAGCCATCAAACAAAACAAACAAACGAACGAACAACAACAACACCAAACTGAAGAGGAAAAATAGCCACCCACAAATAAAGTATTTCTGCCATACATCAAAAGGGTCATGGACCGCATGGGAAAACTTTTGAAAAAACACAACCTACAAATAGTATTCAGACCCACTACAAAAATACAACAAATGTTATGGTCAGCAAAGGACAAGAGAGCCCCCCTCACCACTGCAGGAGTATACCGGATACCTTGCAGTTGTGGTCAGGTATATATTGGAACCACAAAACATAGCATTCACAACAAAATCAAAGAACGTGAGGGACACTGCAGGCTAAAACAACCGGAAAAATCAGCATTAGCTGAGCAAGCCCTAAAATAAGCTGGACATGAAATTCTATTTCAAAATACTGGACAACACCAGCAATTGTTATGTTAGATTGCACAGGGAAGCCACTGAAATCCACAAACACCAGCAGAGCTTCAACAAAAAAAGAAAGTCTAAAACTCAACAAAGCCTGGCTTCCAGCACTGAAAAATACAGCCTGCAAAAGGTCAATGAACTCTACCCAGCCATAAGGACCAGTGATCACTGCACACAAAAGATTATCTAATGACACTAATCAATCACAGTGACAGATAATCCCTCCTCCTTATCACAACCCAGGTGCTGGGTTGAGGGGAATCAACACTCCTATGAGTGCCCCTTTGCCTTAGGATCAGGTGATCACATGGAGCAGAAAGCAGAGGAAAACAATGCCTGCCAAGCGGAGCAAATTTAAACGACCCCTGTTAGTTGCATACACAAAAAGTCAGTTCCCTCTCAAAAGAGGCAATTTCAAAATGGGTTTCCCTACATCAAGTTTTATGTCATGTAGTTGCTGAGCCAATCCAGCCATGCCCCAAGATTCCACAGCAGATTTTGCTGATCTCCAGGGGTGGCATACAAGCAGACAATTCACCTTCATTCTTGTTCCAATGACATCAGAGAAGAATGCTATTAGACATCAAGTATATAACTATTCATAACATGCTATACACATTTACAAAGTAATGCATAATTAATTCTTACCCAATACTGGACAAGGAAGTGGTGCAAAAGCTTCACAGTCCACACATTTTCCATTTCTATAATCCACATATGAATCACAAGGGTATGCTGTTACATTACAATTGTGCTTCAGTGATGCCAGATACAAAAATACAGATCTCTGATGGTCACATTTGAAATACTGAAGTCCTTAGAGAAACAACAATACTATGTTATTTTAAAAAAAATAATTATAATACTAGAGCAATAAATCACATTTGAGATCAGGTACATACTTTCTTTTTATGGAAGGGTAAAGCAATATGTCTGACATTCAGGTTGAGACTAGCCTCTCATTTAAGCATATATGAAAGCTTGCAACTTAATTAGAAAGTAGAGCTAAACATACACACCCCCAAATAATGTAATGTAGCACAGTGTATTGGGTTTTGTTTCTGGACATGTTGAAAAGTATTCAGTCACTCCCAATTAGATATAACAAATTACTCTGTGGAACATTTATATTTACTGTCAGGGCTGCTTCCGCATCCTACCAGCAAACCTGAATTGAGCTGTAGTGTTTTAATTTATTTAACAGCCTACTTATTAAATAATTTCACCAGCTGCATCTGTAAAACTCTAATTACTCCAGGCCTAGACCCTTATTAACTTACCACCCAATAATGTTGTTGGACAACCAGGTTGATCTGTTCCTCCATTGGGGTAGAAATCAATATTTCCCAAGGGCTTCCTGTAACCCAAAACTAGCAACACATAGGGAATGAACAAATATATATTAAAAAAAGAAAAAAAAGAAATGATGTATTACAGTTAAGAAGCATAAAGAAATCATACATTTCAGAACAAACTAAGAACCAAATCCCATTTCTGACATTTCTTTGGATGTTTTAAACAGCTTTTCCAACTGGACACACACACACCTTCCCAGATATGGTGTAGACTATTGCAAAAACGGATGTTTTAAACAGCTTTTCCAACTGGACGCACACACACACACCTTCCCAGATATGGTGCAGACTATTGCAAAAACATAGAATCACAGAATCATAGAATAATGGAGTTGGAAGGGGGCTATAAAGCCATTGAGTTCAATTACCTGTTCAATGACAAAATCCAAATCAAAGTACATATGACAGATGGTTGTCTAAGTTTGTATTGAATGCCTCTACTGGAGTACCCACCATCTCCTAAGATAATTTTTTATTTTTTACTTTACTTACCTACTTACCTACTTACTTACTTAATTTATATGCCGCCCACTCTACCCAAAGGTCTCTAGGTAATTGGTTCCATTACCTAACAGTTAGGAAGTTTTTCTTGATGTTCAGCTGAAATTTCGCTTCCTGTAACTTGAGCCAATTATTGTGTCCTGCACTCTGGGATGATAGAGAACAGATCCCGTCTGTCCTCTATGCAAAAAAATTTCAAGTATTTGAAATGTGCCATGTTCATTGTAATTTTCAGTACACTTTAAGTAGTTATTAGTTTGACCTATATTAAGCTTAGTATACCAACTGCACTCTGGGATGATAGAGAACAGATCCCATCTGTCCTCTAGGCAAAAAATTTTCAAGTATTTGAAACGTGCCATGTCCATTGTAATTTTCAGTACACTTTAAGTAGCTATTAGTTTGACCTATATTAAGCTTGTGTGTTTAGTCGTGTTTAGAAAAAGAAAAGAAAAGAAAGAAAGAAAAGATTCTGGAAATACAGTTCTGGAAATCCAAACCGCCATCGTAATTACCATCAATATCGGTATGAATAACATCTACAAACTGTGCATCAGTGTAATGCAGTCTCTCTTCAGGTGACTTTCCGGTAAACGACGGCCCTGCTGGATCAAGACCTGGCGTGATAAAGGAGCACAACACAAAAGAGTTTTCAAAGTAAAAATATTAAATGAAACTGAGCAACACACAAGTATACAGGGAAAAAACTTCCTTTGTTTCTTAAGCATAATTAATACAAACACAATATATAAATTTAGTGTCTCTTTAGTTTCTCTTTTCATACGTTCGTAACACTCTAAAATCTGAGGCCTATACTTTAAATCTGCAGTTCCAGATACAGCTTGTTACTAGTCCTATGAGAAAAAATTAAGTAGCAATTTAGCACAGAAAATCTGTACTTGGTGCCCCTCCAACACAGTCACACACTTCGGAACCCATGGAACAACCCCTTTGCTGCAAAGAAAACACAGTAAAAGGTCTCTGCCGTGATTACAGATGTTACATTGGAAGTACTTCAACACAGTGCTCTTCTGTCTTATGCAGTTAATGGAGTTGTGTGTGTTATAGTTAAAAAAATTTAATTTTGTAGTATTGCCCTAAAACTAAAAAGGTATTGCCCTAAACGTAAAAAGTTATTTTAAAATAAACCTCAGAGTGGTGCATTAAAAGTGTAAGCATTGTTGAACAACTACAGCTGGGGAACATTTGCCCTAAACGTAAAAAGTTATTTTAAAATGAACTTCAGAGTGGTGCATTAAAAGTGAAAGTATTGTTGAAAAACTACAGCTGGGGAACATCGCCATTTTATTTTTGGAACATAAAAGTGATATGACAATATGGCAGAAGTAGCTTATTCAGTTTTGTGCCAGTTTTTGTGATGAAAAATGTAAGCAAAGTGATTATATTATGTGAACCACAGGGAAAAAATGGAAGTGTATTTTATTCTGCTGCTTGAGTTATATTTACCTATAATGTAAGTTAACAACGAAATAGATGTGGAGACCTGTGTTAAACCAATGAGAATAGAGTGGTGCCTCGTTTGATGAGGATAATCTGTTCCAGAGAAATTGCTGTAGAGCAAAAGAAGTTTAAGAATTTTTCATGCCTTTCACTGAAAGTTATAAAGCTTTTGCTTTTTACAATTTTATTAAGAACTCTGAAGTGTTCTAGAGATGTATTCCCTGCTTTATTTGTATATAAGCCCTTAATCTGAAGTGTTCTAGAGATGTATTCCCTGCCTTATTTGTATATAAACCCTTAATGTTCATTTTTATTCTTGAGTCTGTACTCTTAATGAAGATGTTCCTGTATTTCAGAATGTAACCTAAAAATTCTTTAAAATATTTTATTGTACTTATGCTCCTATGCTTTTGACTGTATTCGCTCCTGTATTTCAACACTCCAATGTTTTGTATTCACGTACAACTTAAGTTCATCTTGTCAGCGTATAAGGATTTTTGTCCACAATTTTGTTTACAGCTCTAAGGATGCTCTTTGCAAGATGAAGCAGCATACCTGTGACTTCTCAAAAGTTACATGTTTGTAATACTTTTGTACTTTATGTTTTTCATATGGAACTTAGAAATGATGTAAAAAGAACTTGTACAGAATTAACAAGTTCTAGAGTTGCCTGGAATTATTGCAATAATGGAAAATCCGTAAATAAGCTACCCAGATGAATTGCAAGAACTTAATATTAATTACTGACTTCATTCTGGGATTAGCCCTTTATTGGGATAATGTTAGCTATGCCGAATCACAGAATCTGTTCTCTTTGCCTAGGAGGTCTACAAATCTCTGTGGGACTCCTGGGGAAATCAGTTATCCTAATCAGATCTCAACATGTGGACCTACTTTAATGTAATGCAATTAAAAGCCCACATAATGAAAAACATTGTAGGGTTTCTAGGGGGTTTGTTGTATTTTCAAAATGGAGATCCAAAGTTTACTGCTTTTTATGGCTTTTTTTGTTCACAGGAAGCTAAGGGCTCTTCAGAGTGAAAATAAACACCACATGACCACTATCTGAATCGCTGCAACTTCTTCCTCCTGCAAAGTACATAGTTTCCATCCCACCTTCCTTGGTGTTTAGACCAGAAGTACTTTCGAATGGCTGCCCAGAGTTGTCTTTCTTAAACATCAAACGTTACAGCACTATTTCCAATAGGCAACATGTAGAGCAGGCAACTGCTGGAAGTGAACAGAGGCTCCCTAATGGTAGTCTGCTGAGATGGAACCAAGAATGCTTTTCCATTGCCAACTCTACGGATTCAACTGAATTGTGGGAAGCTTCTGTGCATTGGATGGCCATGGTGGTGGCATTCAGTCTTACCTGTAATTCTGCCAATTTTGCCATTATATATCTTTCCAACAAATCCAGCTATGTGAGCACCAAGGCTTACTCCAATCATATAAACAGAGTTGAGAGAGGCTCCATTTTCCTGGCAGTAAATACACAAGGATGGGACGAGAATTTAGAAACTATTTTTATAAAGTAACTTGCTGCTTTTTAAAAACAACGGATATATGTGTTATAATTAACACAGTGCTTTTTCATATTATAATGGCTAGGAAGATGTTACAACACATTACAGTTATTTTAATTTTATCCAGAAGACTTAACTTCAAAACAACCCCAAAGCAACATTCTTGGGATCACAAGTAAACAGCACCTATTCCACAAAAAAGTTAATAATGTTGCCCATCACTATATTACTTTTAAAAAACACCACCTCTGGCAACAATGTTATCTAAAAGTAAAGTACAGTACTAGAGGCTATATTGTTAACTTGTCATGATTAATTCCAAGTTCTGAATAAAATATTAATCAGAGTATTTGATGTAGATATTGCTTGAAATCTGGTAATAGGTCACAACTAACATAGGCCTGTTGAATCAGTGGGATTTACTGCAATGCGAGTCCTACTGATTCAGTAAGCTTACTCTAACCACTGTTTAAATCAAGATTTATTCTTCCTTTTCAAACTGCCATGTTTTAATTCCAAAGGCGCTAGGAAAGGAAGACCTTCAGTTATTTATATAATAACTGCAGAAACGATGTAACTTAAGACCAACACTACTACTGTTTCTATGACAATATTAAAAATGCAACATATTCATATCAAGTGCAAGACAATAGAGTCTTATAGTCTAATACTGTGATACAGTATACCTTACCACCATTTGGTCAATCAGATTCTTCAAAATGTCTACTACTTTCTTGGCATTGAAAACAGCACTATGATAATTTGCTGTTGTGGCACCCCGATTCCAATCTACTATTATAATGTTGACATCGTCTTCTTCAAGCAGATCATCTTTAATGTTGTCAATCCATACTGGTGGAGAACCTGTAGGTCTGTAGCCATGGATAATAATAATAGTTTTCTTGGTCACGTTGAGATATGAAGAAACTGTTAGATTGTGTTCACTGAGAGCCTCTGCACACTTTTGGTTTCTTCTTGTATACAGAAGCAGTTGTACTTTCAGACTTGTACCAATTACTGAGTCAAATATACTAAGTTCAGTAAACTTTGGGCATTCTTGTTCTGTATCTGAAATAAGAATTTAAAGATAATTAGGCAACATTAGTTTTAAAGGGAACTAGAGAAACTTGTATAGAGGAACTCATAAGGGTTATTTTGTTTTATCTTCACAGTCGCGTACTTCAGGCTCCTAATTAGTGGTGTCTAAAGTCATCCATGTTGGGAAAATGTGAAGGCAGTGACTTAAGATGGTTGGACAGTGTCATCAAAGCTACCAACATGAATTTGACCAAACTTTGGGAGGTAGTAGAAGACAGGAGGGCCTGGTGTGCTGTAGTCCATTGGGTCACGAAGAGTTGGACACAACTTAACAACAAAACAACAAAGTCATACAGCAAATTTCAAGGGTGAGAAAGGATTTGAACCTGGGATTAAAAAGGCCGATTCTCCCACTCTGTCAAAACATTCCCATTGGGTTGGCCATATTTTTCAAATTGTCACTAAATAATTATTTCTCCTCCCTCTTCTGTATTTAAAAATGTACTGATATTGTCATTCAGACAAAGTTTGCCACGTAGCTCTGCTATAATGTAAAAAACTAAAATTACTATCTGCATCTGATGTGCCAGGATACTCATAGTCCACAGCTAATCCTCCCAGGCACAATGGTTCTTTTCTGTTATGCTTTTATGTCTTCCTGACATAAAAATAACACTCTACATGAGGCTGCTTCTAGAAGGTGTTTGGAAATTTCAGTGGGGCCAAAATGTGGCAGTCAGATTGCTAACGGGGGCTGGTCACAGGGATCACATAATTCCACTGTTAGAGCAACTCCACTGACTGACAATCCAGTTGTGAGCACAATTCAGAGTGCTGGTTCTAACCTATAAAGCCCGAAATGGCTTGAGTCTACGCTATCTCAAGGATAATAATAATCTCCCTTTATGAGCTTTCCCAGGTGATAAGATCATCCAGAGACCTTTCTCTCATCTCACCACCTCCACAGGTGTGTTTGGTGGGGACATGGGAGTGGGCCTTCTCTTCTGCTGCTCCCAGACTTTGGATGTCCCTCCCACAGGAACCCAGGCTGGCCTCCTCTTTGCCGTCATTCCACATGCAGGTGAAGACCTTACTCTTCTGGCAAATTTTGTCTAAATTCCTGCTGCCTTGAGTAGGATTTGTTAAACGATTGCTGTATTTTACCACTTTGAATATGTTTTGATGTTGCTTTTGTTTACCATTTTTAGTGAGTGACATATTTCAGTATTGCTGTTAGGTTTACATACTTTTAATGACGTAAGCCACCTTGCATCCTTTGTGAAGAAAGGTAGGATAAAAATAGTATAAATAAATAAAATATTTCTGCACTGTCAAACGTAATACCTTGAGGCTGAAAACACTTATTGTCTAGTTTGTTAGTTGAAGGTGGCAATTATACATTTGATTATGTACAATTTAAACATCTTACCTTAATTTTGCAAGATTAAATTGTTTATATTACATTGCTTTTTAAAAATAAAAATCAGTATATTGTTTGTTTTCTTATTGTATTGCACATTGAACAACTTTCTACTATAATGTTTTTGTAATCTGCTCTGAAAACATAAATCATTAGAGGGATTAAAAATACAAGATAAATTTGTCTGTAGGGAATAACTGTCAAAAAACTGAATTTCTGTTTTCAGTCTGGAAGGAACTGCTTTAGCCATAGTTTATGGTGTGCTGAATAGTTAATATGAGAATCACCGTGTATTTGCTGAGATGCCTAGGGAGTTGCATATGTCCACTGTTGTCAATGTAGGTCTCATTATATTCAGTGGATTTTTTTAAAAGTAAGCACGCTTTGAATGAGCATGTTAGATTTTTCAAGCCACATGGATATACTGTATAAAACACCTCTGTATTAAGGCAGGTCACTGGTCCATTCATCCTTCTCTCATCTTCTCAGACAGCAGCATTCCAGCTTTAATGGAAGATTCCAGGGACAGAATCTGGGACTGTCTATACATTACAGAGCAAGTTCTCCACATCAACTCTATCTCACTGATAACTGTTCCTTCCCAATTCTCCCCACAAACAAAGATCAGCTGCCTATTTTTATACAAATCACAGAAGAAAAACTATCTCTTGTCATTTTACACTAAATAGAAAACATTTGTACTGCTTCTGAAAGGGTTACATTCATCTGCATAGGACTTCAGATGATTCAGAGAGCACAACCAAGGCCATTCCAAAGTTCAACATACTATCCTAGCATTCCTTTTGGTAAAAGGTTAAGAGAAACTTTTAAATAGCTACCTTACCTGCTGTGATACATGCTGTGAAACAGGTGAAGAAAAACAATCTCAGCATTGGTGAATGTTGAAAAGCAACATGCATTATTCACATCTGAAGGGACACTGTCATTTCCTTCTAACATGCTGGCTATTGCTTCAGTACTGCATTAAGTATCCTTGATAAAATAGGTGTGGTTTACAGAAGGAAGTAGTTGGCCTAGTGAAACCCAGCCTTTATGGTTTTGCAATTCGTGGCCCCTCCTTTCCAACTTAAACAGGCAAGACAGTTTCAGGTCCTTCAAAGTTGCTGTGCTTTTAAATCAGCAAAGCTCCTGCTTTCTGACTTCTTAAAACCTGGTTTCACCAGGCTCCAAGTGCAGATAATAATTGCTATGCTATGTAACAAGCAAAACTCTTTGTTTTGTGAGATATTTAGGAGATATCTTAAGGGTTATTGCTAACATGCACTGGATTATGGAAAAAGCCCAAGAGTTCCAGAAAAACATCTACTTCTGCTTCATTGACTACGCCAAAGCCTTTGACTGTGTAGACCACAGCAAACTATGGCAAGTCCTTAAAGAAATGGGAGTTCCTGACCACCTTACAGGTCTCCTGAGAAATCTGTATGTGGGAAAGGAAGTAACAGTTAGAACTAGATATGGAACAACTGATTGGTTCAAAATTGGGAAAGGAGTACAAGGCTGTACAGTATGTTGTCCCCCTGCTTATTTAATTTATATGCAGAATACATCATGCGAAAGACAGGACTAGATGAATCCCAAGCCAGAATTAAGATTGACGGAAGAAATATCAACCTCAGATATGCAGATGATACCACTCTGATGGCAGAAAATGAGGAGGAATTAAAGAACTTCTTAATGAGGGTGA